CTTAAACATACATGTATATAAGTTAAACACATACAGATGAACATAAATACACATGTGTGAGTTAATCGACGAATAGATGCACTTCGATACATATGTACATCAGTTAAACATATGCATAACTGTACTTACATACATACGTATGCAATTATATACGTTAATGCAGTTATATACATATATATATTGATTGCTGAACATATGTATGGCACATAATAAATAGGACCTTTATAGACTCTGTACATATGTACTTTCTTATAAAGCACGAAGCGCGTATATGGTATAGTACCCATGGTATTGATCTCGTGTAAGGGATTGTGGCACTACTGTGTACTGCTTGTATTTACAATCCACAGAACAGATTTTTCTGAGGCTGCTTAACTATCGCTTTCAACTCGAAGGTATATATATATATATATATATATATAAAGTGCAAACACCTTTGTTTCAAATTGACAAATATATAGCATGCACTCACATTAGTTTCAATTAGGCATTTAGTACAGCCAAGTGTAGCACTACATCATAGCCACAAATATAAACTAGACTGAATATATACCATTCACTCCCATTGGCTAATTTATGTCAGTACTACCAGGTGTACCCCTACATCATAGCCACAGATATATCATGCCTCTGCCTACCTGTTGATATCCGACAGTACACTAAGCAACGGCCAGTACCACTCATGCACCAAACTGAGACCTTCTTTACACTCAGCCCTGCCCTCAATATCTCCACTTTGGACTCTTGCCCCATTTGCCCTGTCCTCGACCTGTCTATTTAGGATACTTGCCCCGTTTTCCAACAGTACCAACATCACACGCATGTCCTCCACCGCCATGTGCGCTGTACCCAGCACGCGTACGAGCTCACACACACATTGGGTGATGGCACCTCTCTCACGCCTTGTGTATGTGCCTGTGTATGTCTGTGTGTATGTGCCTGTGTATGAGTGTGTGTTTGAACTCTGTGTGTGTGTGCATGGCCCGTATACAGACCTACCTACACCCACACCCACACCCTCACATACACGCGTACAGCCACACCCGCCCCATGTCAATGGGAGTGCCAGCAGTAGAGTGCGCGTACATGCCACCGCTGCCTTGGTGGCGCCTGTGTAGCCCAACGTCAACCGTTGTCGCAAACGCTGCATCACAGACACAACCGTCTGTGCCGGGATGGTCCTGTGGGCCGTGTCGTTTATTGCTGGTGTGTCGATAATTGACTCCGTATCGCTAATTGGTTGACGGTCAGTTTTCTTCGCCAGGTCAATTTGTATTGTTGAGTTATCTGTGGTCTGGTTGTCGCATGATGTGGTGGTGGTGTACACTGTCTCTATTTCGTTTATTACCGCCGTGTCGTTTATTGTTTGGCGTTCATTCCCTGACTGTGTGTTGATACCTGTTATCGTATCGGTCCATGTCTCGTTGACAGCCTCGTTAATTGTGTTGTTTATTGTGGGCGTGTCGTTAATACTTCCTGACTTCCCGTTGCCCCCCGTGTCGTTGACATTGTCGTAAATTGTGTCGTTTATTGTGTGAGTGTCGTTTATCTCTCCTGTGATGTGGCATCGCCGGCCACATCTTGTATATAGTAGCAGTCGCACCAACAACAGCGTACCCCATTCACTGGCACGTCCAGAACATAGTAGTGGATAGGTACGGGAAATGGAATGGGAAATACAGGTAAGTATATGGAAGGATAACAGTTGACATTACTAGCGAAATCATGTGGTACAGGGTATAGAGATATCAGACATCGTAGAGGTGATGTCTATCGCCGACTGATATGATAGTTAACACCACTGTGTTGTACAGGGTTTAGGGTTAGTAGACAATGATGATGCGATGCCTATCACCCCTGTGCTATGGATAAGCGCAGTATAAGCGTAGTGCACTTACTTGGTTGAATACCTTATAACTTACTACACACCCCTGTGCTATGAATAAGCTTAGTACAAGCGTGGTGCACTTACTTGAATGATTACCTTTTAACTTACTACACACCCCTGTGCTATGGATAAGCGTAGTACAAGCGTAGTGCACTTACTTGGTTGATTACCTTATAGCTTACTACACACCCCTGTGCTATGGATAAGTATAGTACAAGCGTAGTGCACATACCTAGTTGAATCCTCCTCGACCAAGATGTGGTACAACCAATCGAATACCGTCGACACACTTATGCCCGCGTCTCGGACAAGGCTGGTTGCTAGGGAGTTCCACAGCAGCGTGCAATCAATATCCAGGTAATCGAGTTGATCCGAGTCATCTGATTGGTTGACAGCAGATTCTGGCCCCGATCCCGATCCTATTTTTAGACCCTGCGTTTTCTGGTAGGCACCCATCAGAGTGGCCGTAGTGGTGACCACATTTTGGGCCAATTCCAAAATTGGACGGAACAGTTTGGACTGCTTCCTGGCTTTGGCGCTCTGTTTTTGTTATATGCCGAAATTAAACGAAACAACCATCGTCAGCCGAGACCGGTACAATGTTACGGGTGTACGTATATACGCCTAAGGACTTAAAGCCTCCAAGTATATGACTGTGTGGGAATATAGGTACAATATACATCAACATATAACAATGCATACAAGTGCACAACCATATGTGTAATATATACATCAACATATAACAATACATACAAGACTAAGAACATCAACATGTGACAATACATACAAGTACACATAAATATAATTAAAATATAATCTCCTGAATGTCGACAAGTTGTGCCAGAGTGCACACAGAAGACTTAACTGATGCGATGATACCGAGACATTACACACCTCACGCCATATAACTACACTGATACAGTCCAAATACACATTGTCGGATAACTTACAGGGATATTCAAACACATTATGCATGTGAATATATTCGCCCTGTTGTCTAATTATAA